GTGCCAGAGTGTGTGTAGTCGCATGACGTAAATTTAAAACATATCAGCTGATCAGGCCGTGATTGGCCCTTGTGCCGACCTGCACGACAAGCGACGTGCAATTTGAGTTGCACAGTGCATGCCCTGCCTGATATTCTTTACAGCATGCCTTAGTGTTTGGAATTTCTGTTTCATAGGATATATATCAGATAAAAACAGGCAGCGTTACAGAAGACTCCTCTTACTGAACACTTTACCAATGTGAACCCCCTCCCTGAGTCCATCAGACACTGACAATCTCCTGCTGTGGGCTGCATGTTGTTCCAGAAAGTATCAAGAGCCTTAATGTCCTAAAGTTGTCAGGAGTTCATGTGCCGACGGGGCTTTAGTGAAGCCTTCATCTCTCTCTCTTCTACTTAATGAGAGCAGTCTGGAGGCTGCAATAACAACCCTCTTAATATCATTTTGATGGATAGGTTCTGCGTCTTCTTGCTCGAGCAGATGTCATCAAAACATGTCAGAGAGTTTGGCACTACAGTTCATACTGAAGAGGTGAGAGTGTGCCATTGGTTGAAGCCGAGTATCAGGCAGTAAAACGTCCGCTGATTGGTCACATAGTAGGGAGATCAGCTACCGCAGTGGCGCCTGGCCAGGTTCCAGACGAGGCCCCCTGGTCGACCACAGTCCCACGGCTGTCTGGGTCGATGCCTGTGTGGAACAGCTCGCATGGCTGATCCAGGGTCCAAATGAAGGGGTTCAAGCACCCAAAATTGGGGGTCTCATTCTCTCATATCCGTCTATGGTGGAATGATTGGAGTGTATTTAAATGAGGTTGAGGTTCGCGGTGACAGACAGCGAGTTTTTATTCCCATGGCCTCTATGCTCGGCTCTGCTTTGGTTGCATTTTTAAGGATCCATGTTAACCTGCAATGTTTAAACATGCATATCAATTGCTCTTTCTTCATTTCTTTTCATCAAAGGCGGTCAGTGTCAGGTCTTTTGTTCTCTGACAGTCCATTTTGGGAAGTGAGCATTACAGTAATGACCGCACACGGACGTCACAGCCTTGCCTCCACCATTCAAAGCACATCTGTGTGATCCTGGTTCCACTTCTTGTTTAGGTTCCTGTGAGCCCTTGTTCGCAGCCAGAGCCTTTGATCTGGCCTCATGTGGGCGGGACAGGTAACAGACGTTGGATATCATCGGGGGGGGGGGGGGGGGTGGAGGAAACAATGGCAGGCAGAGGTGTGGGCATGAGGGGGGTGGAGGGCCGAGGGGGCAGGTTGGCACAGACTCGTGCCAATTCATTACAGACCAAAACTGACTTCATAAAGTGGTCACCCGTCAGTGCAGCAGGTTTCTGCCAGAGCTCCTTATACAAGACAAGGATCCTCTGAAGGAAAAATCATATGAGTTCAACATAAAGTCAGAAAGTTTTAAAGAAGTTTACTTGTCTCTGATTATGTTAAGGTTGGATTACCAATGTGAGAAACTTCCCTCGTCCACAGACACTCAGTGGACTCCTGGAGTGCTTCAGGTGTGCTCAGTGTCAGTATTTAACTGGACTACTTGCTAACTTGTGCAGGAGTTGGTACTTCTAGGTTTTTATATCAACTTGTTATGTCGTGGTCTTTGAGAGACCCCCCACTGAAGATCTTGCTCGGACACCTGTTTCATTTAAGGTCATTATTCAAAAGGTGACTTGTACCTAAATCATCAGGGCCAGATTATTCTAATAGTTTAACTTGGATAAAAATCATCCAGATCTTGAAACTCACTTTTTTCCTGCAAAGGATCACATAATCCAGCTCACTTTGAAACCATCATCCGGATCCAGGAAAAAAGATGAACAAATCTGGATTACCAAAAGGGAGCTTCACAATACATACTTTGTCCACAGGGGGCGCCAATTTGACCAATTTAACAGTTTTTCTTTTACTCAAATCCAGTCGAAAACTCGTCCTTTAAGATTTTAACGATTCAAATTGTAGGTTTTATCCAGATATAACCAGGATTAGATAAACCGTGCTAATGTGCATGTGCAATTCAGACAGTGAGAAGGAGTTAACATGCAGCTTTTGATGATTGGATACAAGAAATGACTGGAGACTTCTATTGGTTTTGAAACAGGCATCATAATTATTTTACCATTTTTACCAGTATCACTTTAAAGTTTTAATTTCTAGTATCGTGTTAATCCGACCTGTAACGGACTGAAGGAATCCTCTTGTAGAAAACGTTTTGTGTCTAAGTAGGAATATTCCTTCTTAAAATAAATAAATTAAAGGGGAAAAAACTTTTTTAGCCACCTTCAAACGGCCCCGAATCTGAGCTCCAGCCTTAAACCCCCCCTACAGCTTTGAATAATAGTCTAAAGTCCACCTATCCCAGTTCTCCCTTCAAACAGATGACCCCATCTAAAATAGCCCCCCATACAAAGAGGGGTTCACAGGGCCTTCTGACAGAGGAGCGCCGCTCACTAAGAGCCTCTTCGTTGTTAAGAGTCCAAAGGATGGCCTTCAAGTGTATGCACTGACCTTTGCTGATGAAAGGCCTGAAAATGGTATTTTAACAATATCATGATGCCCTTTCAATATGAAAGGCAGCATAAGCAACACTCTTAGCCAAAGGGACTTGAAAGGAGGCAGGGTGGCAGAGGAACGCGGTGTGTCAAAGTATGTGTGAAGATATCGGTGAGCGTGTGTGTGAAGCTGGAAGCTATTACACATTTAAATTAAATAAGGACTCTTGTAAGGAGGCTTTATGGAGACTAGTTTGAGCTCGCACAAAGCTCTCCGCTGATGCTGCACGGAGGAAAAGACTCGTAAATGAAAATACACGTGATGTTTAATTTGTCTGCAGACAACAAGTCAGACTAAAGGCCCAAACTAAAATGGAACTCATCGCTTAAACATGACCTTCTTTGTGCTATTAAACTACATTTTGGTCCAAAAAAATGAACATTTGACTTACCTTAAGGCTGTGTTTCCTTCCCCTCTGTGCTGTTTTTTTCAGTATTTACTTTTCTGTGCTGCACCACTGTTGAGCTCACCTGTGTCCACTTCTAATCAAGAGTACAAGGAGGGAGAGAGGGAGAGAGGGAGAGAGAGAGAGTGACAGGAGAGAGAGAGAGAGAGAGAGAGAGAGACAGAGACAGAGAGAGAGAGAGGAGAGAGAGAGCCAGAGAGAGAGAGACAGAGAGAGAGAGGGAGAGAGAGAGAGAAGAGAGAGAGAGACAGAGAGAGAGAGACAGAGAGAGAGGAGAGAGAGAGAGAGAGAGAGAGACAGAGAGAGAGAGGGAGAGAGATAGAAAGAGAGAGAGAGACAGGAGAGAGAGAGAGAGACAGAGAGAGGAGAGAGAGAGAAAGGAGAGCGAGAGAGAGGAAGAGAGGGAGACAGGGACAGAGACAGAGAGAGGAGAGAGAGAGAGAGAGAGAGAGAGAGAGAGAGAGGTAGGAGGCAGTCATCCATTGGAGCCCTGTTTCCTTATTGTTAGTTATTCAGGCTCATATTGTGAAACTGAAAGAGTAGTTAAGCTTCTCTTTGGTCAGTTGTTAGATATATTTTCCTCTTCACTTATCCCTTCTTTCAGGTTAACCTCCTATACTTCACTAGTTTTATTTTGAAATGTTTTCCCCTTCATGCCCTTGTCATCTTGAAGTATGTAACACCTTACGAAATCATCAGTATGCTTCATTATGACAAATGTGAATTCATCCGCTGCTGTAAATAGTCCCCTACAGATTTTTTTAATCCTGTTTCAGTCACGTTTGGGAAAACAATGTAAGTGCGAGATGAGGACTGAGTGCCGTAGACAAGGCAGGGACATTACGAAATTACCTTTTTCACTCAGAGGCCGAGGTGGCAGGTGGATTAATAAATTCACCTGCCAGGCCGATTTTAAAACATAATAAGTTGTGTTTTTGTTTCACATACACACACAAAAGCCCTGTGAAATTTAATTTCCAAATGGAAAATCTCCCCGCATTTGGCACTTGGCAGGTGTTCATTTGGACCCTGGTTCAGTCTATTTAGTTTAGAAAAATATATATATATCATTAATATCAGTTTTGAAATCAGTAATATAAATACTATAGACGCCTAGAAAGCTGCTAACAACATTGACCAAGTGACTGTCTGTCAGCCTCATCTCTCATCTTTCATTCACTTTGTACTGATTTTTTTTTACTACTTAGGACTGTGGATTTTATGTTTTCAGATTTATTTTGGGGCTTTTTATACCTTTATTTAGAGACAGGACAGTGGTATAGAGACAGACAACGGGGACAGAGATGTGATGTGAAGGAGCCACAGGTCAGATTCAAACCTGGGCCGCCCACTCTCGAGGACTTTAGCCTCTGCACATGGGCACACACTAACTGTTTGGCTACCTCTGCTTGTGACCTTTTTAAGTCCAATTTATATGAAATTTAAGGCCAACGTCACAGAATTAATGGAATAACTCAAATCTGTGACTTACATTAAGGCAGTTTTCAGCCTCTCTGTGAGCTCATATCTTTTCACCGGGAGCTTAATTGAGTCTTCCTGGAGGACCTCATATCTCTCTCACACACACACAGTGCATGAGGTGCCACAGGAGGCCAAACGGTTAACTGTGCAAACAGCTGCGTGAAATGTACTTATGGCACGATTTGCCAAATGTCTCATTAAACAACACTTACATACACTCCTGCTTACGCTACATCACGGAGGCTCTGGTGGCCAAATTAATGCTGCATGTTTTAATTTCCAACAGGGAGTAAATTAAGAGCTGATAATGGATGAAAATCTGAAGGAGATTTCTCACTGGATCTGAGGAGCTGCACTCTCCACAGCAGGGGTGGTGTGTGTGTGTGTGTGTGTGTGTGTGTGTGTGTGTGTGTGTGTGTGTGTGTGTGTGTGTGTACTGAAGTTGGTTTAACACCCTCACATACACACATTACCATCCCAATTAAGGCAGATAAAATCCATACAACATCCCCATCACAAGACACACAAAAAAACCATAAGAAGCCATTTGCTAATTTGAAAAATAGAACATTTTAATAAAGGCTACATCTCTTCATAATTACAATAATTAAAGTACCGAGGCATCTTTTCAACTGAGCTCTATAGAACGCATAATTTACAGTTTACAAGTGGAGCCAAGGAAGCCATGAAAAATATTATAAAACATAAACATGATGAAACGGATACTAAAAGGCATAAAAATATCTTTTCAACATAAGGCCCCTTGTGAAAACCAAGGGAGTAAAAGGACCCTGAAAACTGGGTAAAACACGGCAAGAATCCATGTAGGCACAGCTACTGTACTCAGTTTAAACACTATGGACATAGTGCATATCACCACCATCGTTAACATCTGCAGCTCATAGTGCAGGCTTCAAATACACACACAGAGTAAGCCCTACTCAACGACATGTCAGTCACACAGTCACAAAGGTAAGCACGTTGGGGAGCACATATAGAGCTTTGTGTTGGTAAATATGAACATTGGTGTAAACACATTTTGGGGACCTGTTCAGGGCAGCTTCCTCTCTTAGCAAATACGTAGGCGATTTGTGCGATGCCTGCGCCACTGAAACAAAGGCACTAAGACGTGACAGATCAAGGCTAGCTGGGCAGAGTCCCAGAGAAGGGAATTAAACATTAATAGCATTTTGAGTTCCTTTTTCAAAGTACACCCAGGGCCCATTTAGAGCAGATGGGGACAACAACCACAAATAGCACTGCAGTAGTAAATATATTATCGGACTTTTTTTTTTTTTTTTTAAGTGAAAAGAGAACCGTTCTCAAAGCTTCAGCAGTAAGCTCTCCCGCCGAGAGAGCAGAGATGTCCCACTCAAACCTCCAGGAACAGGAGTGGAGTTATTGAAGAGGTATCTTTGAAGTTTACAGTTCAACATGAGGGGCAGAAAATGAATAAAACCCATTTCCTTTGCTCTAGAACTGATGCACAGAAGGGAATGAAAAATAATAATCATCTAGGATTTTTGGAAAAATAGGAGAAGTTTCTCCAACTCCAAGCAGCTTGTCCATGGAAGAATAAAAGGGTCGGGGCAGGGATATTTCCAATAAATAGCAATATAATCTTTACACAGCAATACGAGCATCACAATACAATGCAATGTACATGTATACTTGCATATACATATAAGTGAGGGGCTAGCAGGTGCCACAGGGCAGATGCTAACACGGGCAGGGGCAGGTGGGCTGTCAGTCTCAGATTTGAACCCACCGCCCCGCCTCTATGAGGAGTGGTCATTCACCTGGAGTCTCTAAAGTTTTCTCTTCTGGAAACACAGGAAATGTTTCAGTCCAGCAACATACAATCCTTTGTTTTCTTCACTTCAAGGTCCTTTGATAGCGATCATTTGTCTTCCTTTCTTTTTGAGCATCATCTTCTTGTGTCCAGTTCATCTTCCCACATCTAGCAGACGTTCCTTAAAAATCTCCAGTCCTGCAGTCTTAGCTTAAAAAGACACAGACGTCGTGTTTCTGAGCACGTGAAGAAGTACATCCACAGGAGGTCGAAGCGTTCATAGGAGTTTAATCCACATCAACAGGGGGGACGTCCTCACTCCATCCTCTCCACCTTGCCTAGGATCTTGCCCTCATAGGTGGGCAGCAAGGAGCCGTCGTCTGACACCTCCTCGAAGACGGCACCGCACTCAAACTCATTGCTGGCCTTTTTGAAGTAGTACCTGCAGCAGAGAGACAACACAGAGTTAACACCCACAGATCCACAGACACACAGTCGTCATACAAGCTGGATTCAAGATAAAAGTCAAAAGAAAGAACCAAAAAGTCAAACAGCTTGTTGCCACCTCCTTTGTTCCACCTTTGAAACATCAAGAATCATTTCCACCGTCTGTGAAAAGCCACTTGGTGCACATTGAATGGAGCCTGCAGACTTCTCAGGGTGGGGTGGAACCTGCTGTGAAAACTTCTTGGTCTAAAATAAGAGGCTCACTCTCTTCATCCCTTCTATTTTTTTTTTTTCTTACCTCTCCCTTTCTTTTTTTCTACATCCAGTTGTCGTGAGCTTTGCCCCGGCTAACAGGGGCCAATTAGGCCAGCGTGCAAATGAAGGGGTCCTTTGACAAAGGCTGAAATTTTGGGTGCCTGGAAGTCTGCCTGTCATTACACGCCCCCCCCCCCCCCCCCAACCCCAACTCCTACACACTCTCTCTCTCTCTCTCTCTCTCTCTCTCTCGTGCACTTGTCAGGAGACGCACGTGCACGGGCTTTCATTTGCCCCTCATCCCCGTTTCATTATTACAGGACAAAGAAAAGAACAAAGTGGAGGAGAAGGAGGAGGAGCACGCAGTACACCGTGTACTTCCTTACCCCCGTTGATAGCACGAGCTCTCGCTGGGTGCTATAGGAAGGGCAGCAGACTGACAACTTTCTGTGTGTGTGTGTGTGTTGACGAAAAAGTAAGGAGGGGCTTCTTGTCAGCCATGACTTCACTGGGCCATTAATGATGCAACCCCCCCAGCCTGGTTTTTTAGAGGAAGAGAAAGCAGCAGGGGTGGGTTTCACTCATTAACTATGTAATGGAAAAATGCCTCGGTTTGCTCCATGTGTGGGGTGACTGGAATGTGGCTATGTTTGTGAGCATTTTGTTTTTAATGAGATGTGAGGCTGACAAAATCCAACATGTGATTCTTGTAATAAAAAAAAATCCAGCTACAGACTTCTTGCTCAGATGTCTGAAATGCACATGAGCCAATCAGCGTGAGGGAGGTCGCTAATAACAAGCAGCTTCATTTGAAATAGAGGACGGCTTTAACAAAGTTACTCTTGCGGGGAAAACGAGGGAGTAAGAACAACAAAGTAGATAAATAAGAGGACATGAAAGACCATAAAATACGCCTAATAACTGTATCCTCCTCTCTCATCCCGAGGAGGAAGAAGGAAAAACAGGACTGCCCTTTAAAAGAAAATCTTCAAAGAGCCACAATCTTTTCTTTTCTTTTTTTTGCAGAGAGAGAGACAGACAGAGACAGAGAGAGCCTGAATTTCCACTGGAACATGTTTTATGTGGCTAGATCTGTTTTTCCCCCCTCTTCTCCTCTTCTCTTCTCCCTCTCTCTCTCTCTCTCTCTCTCTCTCTCTGCATTTGCACTGACATCTGGCACCAATATCGTCTGGCAGGGCCCGGCAGTACTGTTCTTTGTTGAACCGCTGCCATGTTGAAATGACCCAACTCCACACATTCTCTGGCTGCTATTAAAGCGCCGCGCGGCTCTCTTTCCAAAAAAATGTGGATGGTATGACACAGGAACTGAGACAGCGAGCCAGGGGGAAGAGAAGAGAATAGGGGGAGACGGACAGATGTGCGGGGGGGGTCGCAGCTAAGTGCTTGTCACAATTGTTGATGTGAAAAACGCCGAACACATCTGGACGGAGAGACGTTTCTCTAAGTTCTTCTGCTTTTTTTTTGCTGCAGAAAGAGCCGGATACCTGTAATTATTAACACAATACTCAACTCGTGCTTATCCTGGAGACCGTGTCCGCCTAAACAGCAAATGTTTGATCTTTTTCCCTTTAATGCCCACTGGAAAGGAGCAATCAAAGTCAAATCTCTCTCACAAACACACACTGAAGCGGTGCGGCCTCAGTCAGCACCCTGAAGTACAGCAAACAAGCAAGTCTGGCATTTAACAATCTGCCTTTCAAAAATATCCATAAAATGATTACAACATGTGTAAACAGTGTGCACGTTCAATGTGAGCGCATTGATGTACGCACACACTCACACACCGGGGCAGGAAAAAAAGAGCCCCTGATAGCATCAGTGAAGAATTTGCACGCTGGCCATTTGTGTGAGTCTTTGTTGGTTGAAATGAAAGGGGCCGGGGCTTCAAAGCCATGTGTATTAAGTGTGCCTTAGCATGGAAATCAATACCAGATGGGACCCAAATCGCTGCAGTTCAAACTCTTCCACTAACCCCCGCACCACCCACCCTCCCTCGCTCACTCACTCACTCGCTCGTCCTTTTCCTTTTCATTGCAACCCCCCCTTCCATGCACACACACAAAACACAGAGGCCTGAATCAGACTGTGTGCACACATATAAATAAAAACTGATAACAGAGCTATGCATAGACATGGATAAAGCGCTAATAAATGTGTAAAAAACACATCAGGTCTCACAGGCACTGACCACAGTTCAAAGATAAAAGAAAATGTACCATTACAGAGTGAAGCCTTAGCTTACAATAGCTTGCTTCAGTTTGTGGTTTCCATTAGTCCTGCCCTGTTAAGGATTGTGTCAATTCTGATTGCTCTAAATATCTTAAAAAGGTCACAAAGTCACCATAATGCTGACATATTGGAAGGTCCGCCCCACATATTCTATAATCCTGCAGGTACTAGAATAACGTCTCTGCAGATTTCTCCACTTTCTGTTAGTGGTTTTTGGACTGCATTACAAAGCTTCCCATTTCTGAAGTTGCACTTCTGAACTTCAACCTGTGCTGTAGGATTTGTGGACTAATCATTTTTTTTTTGGTTTTCAATCACTCTTTTATATCAAGGCTGATGAACTGATAGCGTTTTATAGCCGGCAATCACAATATCAGAGAGTGGCCGATGTCAGAAGTTCAGATTACATCAGTGAGTTAGCTCTCGTAAAACTTTAACCCACAGCTCTACGTGTTCCAGTCTTAAACTACACACACCTGTAGTTGCCCTTCTTGCGAAGCTGCTCCTTAAAGTGACCCAAAGTGAGACTGTGGCTCTTCATGGTCCTTCTGTAGGGGATCTCCTCACCGCAGAAGAAATACGTCACCACTGTCTCGCCGCCGCACACCCCCGAACCCTTTTTACACTCCTTCATCCTGAAACAAGGACGAAAAACAAAAAGAAAGTTAGAGACAGCCTCGAGAAACTTACAGATGAAAAGTAAAAGAGAAACCAGAAAAAGGGCAAAGCATCTACAGGACCAAAACTTCAAATCTGTGTCTGACAAAGTGCACAGAAGACAGGACTGCACTGAAAATACAGCATCAGCACCCTAACTGAAGAATACCACTAACTGAGTGAGTGACCCAGTGCCATCAGTAAGTGTGTACTTGTGTGTTGGTGTGTGTGCTTGGAGAAGGGGCACAGTATTATCAATTCCCCTTCAGCTATGTCCAAGGCTTTGTAGGCCACTTCAGAGGAGCTCTCTCTCTTTGCTAAGCTCTGCTCGCCCCAGCCGACTGCCAGCTCACTGAAGGACAGCCAATAAAAATGATACATATATATGAAAGGGATGTCTCAGTCAGGTGGTGCGGTGACTACACACTCCCCACACACAGCACAAATACACACGATTCATGCAAAGAGAGGCAGAGCCAGTCATCTCTGTACAAAGCTTAGAAGGGGGTCACCCTCTCTTTTAAGTGATGTATGTGGGTGTGTGCACATGTGCAATATGTAGGTTTGACTACTTGTCTGTGTGCGTACATGTGCAGCGAGCAAAAGCAGGTGTCAAGTAGGAAGAGTTAAAAGGGTAGAAGTACACTGCAAGGTGGAGGCTATGGCTGAGAGGAGGAGGAAGAGGAGCAGAGAGGAGGAGAGGAGAGGGAGGGCAGGACGCTAGAGGCATCGTACTCTTCTGATTGGAGACCAGGGCTGCTGGTAGGAAGGCCGGCAGGGCTGGGATTGGCTGAAGACAGAGGGACGGACCCCTCACCCTGGACAGGCACTAGGAGGCTCTTCTCTTGTTGGACACTGGACACTGAATGCCTGGGAAGAGATGTTGCAGAAACTTAACCACCAGGCTCAATTATACTTATATACTCAATATATCCTCAATATATACCCTACCCTACTAATGAACTCATTAATCAGTCACGACTTTGTTAGATTTATCAGTACATGAAATCTGAGAGCAGCATTCAACCACGTCTCTCTAGTTTCTGTGTACCTTTGCTTGGTGGTCTTGGTGGAGACCTCCTCCAGTCTGCGGCAGGCCTCCTCCAGCTGGGCCAAAGTGTTGGGAGGGGGCAGAGGAGGCATGGCCGGGTCCTGGATGAATGGCTGGGCCGGCTGGTGGCTACGTAGGTGGCCACAGCTTCCACCACCACCCCACGTGTGCGTCTGGGTGGAAGAGCCTCCAAAGGATTTTTTGGTGCTCTGGTTGCTGCGAGGGAGAAAGAAGAGAAGACTATAAGCTTTAAAAACATGTACTGCAGGGACACAACTCGGGACCTTTTAGAGTAAAATAAAACTAAATTCCAAAGGTATCAGCAAATTCATTACCTGTGAGACTTGTGCCGGCCTTGTCGTTTACTTTCCAGGATCCACTGCAGCACATTTTGGGTGGGGTCAGCTGTGTCGGTGGGCAGCTGTAAGGGACCACAGTCCTCCATACACCTCTCGGCTGCTCCATCCTCAGCCCCTGCTCGACACACGCGCCTGGAAAGAGAGCTGGATCGCCTGCAAGCAGAAGGGAGGAGTTCATTTTTATATGTTCAACACGAGGAAACTGAAAAAAAGAAAAAACAGCAGGAAAAAGTTCAGGAAAAGTGACTTAAACTGACCCTGTGCTGTTGTTGTCCAATGAGACGGACCCACACATCTCTCTGCCCAGGCTGCGGCTGCGCTGGTAAGGCTGGCAGGGCTGGCACTCGCCACTGCTGGAGCAGAGGCCGTGCACCCTGAGGGCTGCCTCCCTTTCAATCTGCTCCTTTGATTTGGGACTGCCGTGATGGTGGATGTAGTGGTGGTGGATGTGTTTTGTGCTCTGCCTGCTTACGAGGGTCCGGATGGCCACTTGGTCAGGATTGAGATGGAACAAGAAGCGGAGGGCCCCGTCCTTACAAGGGTCTTGATTCCATAGGCTGCCCGCGTGAAGGCCTTGTGCTCTGGGGAGGTGGAGCGAGGTGAGTGGCGGATTACTGCGGGGGACTGGCAGCCGGGGGTCTTCAGGACGCGAGAGAGGTGTTCGTCCAGGATGGCCTGCGGGTCCTCATCGGATGAGCAAGACAGGAGGGCCAAGGGGTGCGGAGAAAGTATGGGAGCACTTGCAATAATCTCTGTATCTTCTCTTTCCTCCTCCTGGGAACAAAGAGTACAAAGTTATCATAACGAGAAATAAAAGATTAGAATTACATTTTACAGTAAAAAAAAATAATAATAATTTCACACAAACCTCCTGAATTTGCTGCAGCTTCTCCTCCAGAGAGTTGATGGTGTCCTGCTTTCTCTTCAGGCTCTCCAGGCGGGAGATGAGCTTGGCTGCAAACTCTGCCGGCTCCATCGGGACCATCTCCTTGGGAGGATGGCGAGTACGCTTTGGGGAGAAGGAGATACATTAGACGCTGTATCATCCCTCCCTCCATGACCAAACCCCAGCCCTCCCCAACTTCTACAAAGACATCCACACTCCTCTCCCCTCATCTGCCTACATGCATGCGTCACAAGCTCCAACACTGGTGGTACTGATCTAGGGTGCTCTGATAGGCACCCAGGGCTACGGGGTTGTTTCAAGGGGTGGCAGGCCTGCTGTACGGTCATGCTGGACTAGGCCTCGGCTGGTTCCCTCTGTCATCATCAGCAGGCCTCTTTAAAGTCAGCTCACTTCAAAGGCTTCCTCGTCAAATATCAAACACTCAGTGGGGGGAGAATAGGATGGTGGAGGGAGGGATGGAGGGATAGATAGATGGGAAGCAGTGGCTTTACATCTTGGAATAAAAGCCACATATCGACAGGGGGTGGAAGGGAACTCCAGGGAGGAGAGGATGAGGGATTAAAAATATGGGAGAAGTTGAGATGCAGAGATGTGTCCTCACAGGAGGGAAGAGAAAAAGCAAACGGAGAGAGGGACGGATTTGAGGAAAGAGATAAAGGTGCCAAAAAGGACAGAAGATCAGACAGGTTGAGGTAATTTATTCCCCCTTTGTCGCACACTGGGCACCTTTGAGGTACAGTGCAGTGACAGTACGAGAACGTGTGTGTGTACGCACACACATTTTATATTATTTGCATTTTTGCACTGGGGCTTTCTTGATTTTTCTTCTTCTTTTTTGTTTCTCCCAACCCTTTGTAGTGAGGATGAAGGGGAGAAAAGAGTGAGAAAAAGAGGCGCTGTGTGATGGAGCCTAGGGCTGGTGCACCATGGGAATGGCAGCCATTGCCAAAAATCAGACGGGAAACAAAAACAAGTATAAAAGCAAAAAATAAAGCAAAAGGGGGACAGTGGGAGAGGAGAGGCAAGAACCAATCTGTGGATCTTTTCCTAATGCAAGTAACACTTGCTGCATGTCTCATAACGTAGAGAAAAAAATGGGGTTACATGAAGTTTATTTTAACAGGCTGGTTCTGTTACTTTAACTTCTGCAAACGTCCCCCTGGCTCTTTTTCTTTGGACCTCCTTTACTGAAGTTAGCCTCTCTTAAGCCTTAAGCTACTAGATCCCCTCTGACCCACTCAGAGCTCACATGACACGCTCAAACTCTTCCCTCAGAAGACTCACTTTTAGGGGAGGGTGAGTGAGTGCATGTGTGTGTGTGTGTGTGTGTGTGTGTGTGTGTGTGTATAAGTAAGGGGGGGGTTGTAGTTCTGTAGAAAAAAGGGGGCCAGCTCTGTTGGAAGTTGTCACTTCCCTGTGCGTTTGTTCCATTCATCCTCGGATCAAAGCGCTGCGTGTGCGTGCATGTGCGTGTGAATGTGTCTGAGTATCTTTGTGTTTTTGTTGGGAAACCGGGCTGATTTCAGAGCCCTCGGGAGAGAGCGGCAGAGATCTTCCTCATCTCTCCCTATTCTCCATATTTACAGCATCGGTAGGGAAGAAAAACCCTGGTGTGTTCCGAGCGCTGCGGCGATAAACAGCTTAGAGACCCCCGCGTCTCCCGCAGACTTCAAGGAACCCTAATGGGGGTGTAGGTGACACCAAAGGTAGCGAGGGGGGCTCGCAGATCCAAGTGTGCATATGCGCTTACGTGAGTGAGTGTGTGTGTGTGTGTGAGTGGGAGTACATCTTTGACGTTACTCTTCAGATCTTTGCTGGTGTTGTTGAATTGAAAATGCCGAATACAGTTTGCGGGATTATTCATAGAACCAAGAGAGACCCGGAACAGAGGGTGGTATGGAAATGACTCTGTGGGACCCAGGTTCAAAAAGACTTCTGAGCGTGTGTGCGTGCATAGATATGTGTGTTTGTGTTTGTGTACTTACAGGGAAAGCAGGGAGAGAGACTTGACTGTTCATCCTCATGTTGCGGTGCATCTCTCTCTGCAGCTGTTTCTTGGATCCCAGTTTATACGGAGGGATGCCATCTCTGGGGGGAACGGGAGAGATCACAAAGGTCAATTACAGCATCAGATCCATCGTTTAAGACCTAACAGCCATTCAGGAAGGAGCTAGTTAGCCAACTGGGGAGATCAAACACATTTCAGGCAAGAGGAAACCTAATGATTTAATTATTCCATCCTTTTTTTTTTTTTTTGATCTTTTAGACCTAATTTTAGAACAAAACAAAAAAAAGATACTCAGGAGGAAAACTAAGCCAGGATTTCCAGTGTTGTTTATACGTCCAGGTTTAAATGGCTCTTGGTGAGGTGGTAGGAGGTTTTGTTTGCCCTAGAAATGACACTCATTTTCAGCACTGGCTCCAGCACAGCACTGGGAACCCTGTGGCCACTTCCTTTCTACACCACACACACACACACACACACACACACACACACACACACACACGTACACACAAACATACTCTGCAGTCATAGTGCGCTCTGCTCTACTGGCCAGAAGTAATGTCAGCATTAGCATTCCCCTACTGACTTTAATGTTCAGCTGAGGACACTGTTAGCATTAGCTTCTTATTCAAAGAGCTTCCCCAGGACAGGACCCAAGGGTGCAGCTAACCTGGTTAAATCTATCTGACTGGCACAGAGAAATGAAATCAAACAACAAACAGCAGAGCATCAAACTGAAGCACTTGACAGAGTAAAACAGTGTCTTTTCTCCCATGCTAAACAGCAGTTTCCTGGTGACCTAGCCTAACTGAGGAGCACTTTTCCACTTTTGCTTTGAAATGCCACAGTCATGCGCATAAGCAACCCCCCACCCGCCCTCCCCTCCCAATCTTCATTTGGCAAGCGCTGCCGCAGCCAGCCTCTGATCTCCGCACATCAAAAGGCTGGTTTGTAAGATAAGGTAATGTTTGAAGTCTGCGCAGCTGCATTCCCCAGCGTCCAAGCAAATCCATAAATAAGATATAAGCAAAAATCCCCCCCCTCCCCTCCTTTTCCTCCACCACTCTTTTCTCTTCTCACCCAACCGCCTCCTCCCCCGTTGCTTCCCCCCCCTTTTTCTATTCTTTTCTTAATCTGTAGATGAAATTCAAATGTTTATGGGTCCTTTCAACTGACCTAAAGAGAGGCAGATATTCTGATCAAGGCCAGATCAGGCAGAACAGAGGAGGGGTGGGGGCTGTGTCCCTGTGGCGGGGGCTTTGTCACTACACTGGGCAAAGTACAGCAGAATACGACTATATGGGCCTCGGTCTCTTTGAAGCAGCCGTGTGGAGATATGCCAGAACAGAGGACTCCCTGCTGTAAAAAATAAATAAAAAATCTCTTCATAGCTGCCATATTTATGTGTAACCCAGCCCTCTGGATGTTCTGAACCTCAGTGTCTGTCCAGATCTTAAGCCTGGTCATGGTAAACATTTCTGCTTCAGTGACATCACCCATGTGGGCCCTTTCACCTCCCATGTGAAATGAGGCTAAGGCCCCCGTCGTAAGATGTTTTTCAACTCTCTGTCCTGAAAGCAGCTGACCCGGGCGCTGACTTGGCCTTGAGCTGTGCACTGACTTCATAGTACCGTGTGGCTGAAGAGACATGTGATCACGCCAAGTAACCTTTCAGAAGAACGAGGCCCACGGCACGTACACAGATAAGCCCAAACCACATGTGGACAGAGGCAGCACACTTGAAACCGTTTTCTTGTTTTGTCAATCCAAAGGCAGTTAATCAATAACAGTTTGGATAATGAACCTGTCATATAAGACATACAGCAATAAAGCTGTCAATTAATTTGGATATTTTCATGATTGATAGTATTTCAAAGTGACCAAAGCATTAAAAAAAAAAACGTCAGATCTTCAGTCATATTATTAACCAAAAGCTGCTGAGAGCATAAAAGAGACAGAGCTGTCTTGACTGCACAAGAACATTGGCAGCTGATGCACCAGTTTGCCTGCAATTTCTGGTCACTCAAAAACAAGAAAATACCCAATATAAGGTGCCTAAACAGTAGGAGTTCTAATTCTTTTTTTCTTCATGGTATCAAACAGGTATCAAAACAAGATGATTTTTAGACTATCCTATATCTAACTACCCTCTGCACAGTGCTCATGCCACTGTAACTGGTGCTCTAAATGTAAAACCTCAATTTGTTTCTCGAGTACTTGATAGAACGCCTAAAATGCAGTGTCAGGTACTAGGTAGTAAAGCAAGCAATTTACCGATCCAATGCCCTGACCACAAAAAAAGTCAACTAGTCCTACGTAAACTATGATGACTGGGGGGTGCCTGTTATCAGCCAATACTCATGTCTATGTATTAGTGTCAATATCCGGAAGGACAAAATGCTAAAACATCTCTATCCCCTTACAAAGTCTCTTTACATTGACAATCAAACACATTAAAAGAGATGTTTGAGTACATCATGCAGCATCGGGCCTGGCATTGACCTGCACCAAATCCTGGTTTCCACAGAGTTTCTTCAAGTGTTTCAAGAGGCCAAAAGTCAACAGTATTTCCACCACAGCAAACCGTTCTTCCAGTTTGACTCCCACAGTCAGCTAAAAGAAAGGTGTCACTTCTATTTTTGTTCATTTCAAAAGCCCCCTCATTCAACTTTCCCTTCACCCACACAGTAGTTGCTTGGGTTCTTACATACACATTTGCATGTTTTTGTTATTAATCACTTACACACTGCTGTCGGTCAGGGACATGGCGTCGTCGGTCAAAGCATCACTGGACACCTCGCTGTCATTGGTGCTGCTGACGGGGGCGAAAGAGCCCACGTGGCAGGGGTTGAGTGATTCTCCTCTCTTGTATGATCTGCAGAGGTTACAACAAGAGAATTTTGTTTGATGCTAATGCACAACAACTGTTTAAAAAAAGTATCAAACAGGTGGGTGACAGGAGAGATAATGGTGAGCTAATGGTGAGGATAGTGTCAGTAAAAGAGTGTTGTCACAATACATATAAAGATATTAGTGTTAATCAAACGATGCTGATGCCTGTTTGACACCAGCAGAAATAGAAATCAGAGACACCCTTTATAGGGTCATTTCTTGTTTTTAATGACCAAGAAAAGTATCGAACATTTTGACAACCCTACTCAGAAAAGTTATTAAAGAGAATGAGTTATTAAAAAGGTGAGTTTAGATGTGGGAATCTAACCTTATGTGCGTATAGAAACACCTTTAAAAAATGACTGTGATTGGCTAGCTCTGATACTTTTGCAAAATACAACCCTTAAATTCAAGTTCATCTGCACTGGGAAAGCTGTGGTTTTCTCCTTATGCCCCATTTAAGCCTTCTCTTACACAGCCCACAACTTCTCTTTCCACCTCTCTCACTCTTTCCTCTGCATTAATCCCCCGCTGTGCATGCATTCTTGCCATGGTACAGATGGAGGAGAGGAAGGGGGGGAGACCAGAGAGAGAGAGAGAGAGAGAAAAAAAAAGTATAGAGCGGAAGCATGAGAGTGTGTCAGAGGAGGAGAGAAAAGGGGAGAGAAAAAAAAGTAGGGGTCTTCATGAGGAGGGAGAGACCAAGCAGGACTAAAGCTGTAGCCCCCACCAGCTCTGGTCTGACCTTCAGAGGGGCTTGCAAAGAGTCAGGTATTTAACACAGCTGGCCTTGCATTCTTCCCTCCCTGCCTCTCCCCCCCCCTTTTTCTCCTTTCTCCTCCCTCCTTTTCTTTCATTCGATGCACCCTCCTCCTCCTCCCTGTCCTTCCTTTCCGCTCTCTTTCCCCTTCACTTTCTCTCCAAAAGCATGCCTCCTAGTCCCCATCCCTGAGATTTCAAAAGGAGAAAAAAAAGATAAAAGTGGAGAAGGCAGCAAAGGAGGGAATCAGAGGAGAATTGACGCAAACAAGAAAAGAAGGAAGAAGAGAAGTGAGAGGGGCTGAGGAGGGGAGGTGTTGATTCTGTACTGTATAGCTGCTTTTTTAAAGAAAGAAAGTATAGACAGACGAGAGGAGGTGAGGAGAGGGAAGCGGAAAGGGGAGAAATAGGTTCCACATGTTTTGAATCTGTAGTGTGACAATGTGAGGGGGGGGGGAGGCACCGGGGCTTCATGTCAGAGGAGGAAGAAGCATATATCGATAGAAAAGTTCTGAACACAATAATGCTAGATGTATGAGCGTGAGTTACTTAACACTGTTAAAACTCATAATTCTGCAACATCAAATTATGTCCCGATGTTTGCACTTCTTCTTTAAATTCAATAGTAACGCCTCAATAAAAGCATGTGTCTGTTTAGGATGCAGTATCAATAAAAACTTTGATTTGACACTTTTAAAATGTACAACAGGCAGAGATTTGATACAGAAAGCAACAAAACTACGGAATGTCGATTTCAAAATGCCATCCACAGATCTGCTATAGATTTACATCACTGCATAGCATAGCATAGCAATGTCATCATCTATTATTTGCCGGCCGGGGCCAGCAGCCAGCCTCTCTGCTCTGTGAACTTTTCCCGTGGAAGACGATCCCTCATTCTGCTGAACTATTTCAAAGCCCCGGAAATCCAGGCGAGCGCCAGCAGAGGGCTGCTGCTGCTGCTGGAGATGGTGAGAGGGGCCAGAGGAAGCCAGGAGTGAAAAACACACTGAGTTTTCTACCAAATTGAAAGAAAGCCTTAAGTGATTTAAGAGTTTTTGATGTGTCCATTTGTCAATTTTGGTAAACCACTTGAATAGAGCAGGGATTCTGGTTCTAAAGCATAGCAGTGTTTAATGGTGCAGCAGCCATACCTGTATCCGCTTTCCGTCACCTCCACCTCCCTCATGGACACGGTGGCCCTCTGCACCTTCACCGACAGTCCAACCAGCGCTTTGGGTTTGGCTTTGAAATCACAACTCCACTCCTCCTCTTCATTGAGCGTGGGCAGGTATCCACACACAACTTTCAGGTCGCCCAGTCCGTTCGAGTTGACGTGGTTGGGGTTTTCGCCCCCAGTCCTCACGTACTCGAGGTAAATGTCAGAGGTCAGAAACATCTGGTACGCGTTCTCCTCCATGTCCGTCTGGATCTCGGTCTGCGCCTGGTCGAACATCGCAGAGTCTATGTGCTGCTTCTTGACACTGTCCCGGATGAAGGTTTTGGTCGCGGGCTTGAGCTGCTGGGCGACAATGCTGTTGTTTTCGATGTAGCGTTTGTAAATTGCTTTGGCGACTCTTTGCGTTTTGGTATCCTTGAGGTCCATTTGTCTGAAGCCATTGCAGGCGAACCAAAAGTCTAAAGAATCTTCACATTTCTCTCGCTCCAGGAAGGTCCTAAAAAGTAGAGCACCGTCCTGGTCCCCGAGGAGAGAGTGCAAAGACTTTGTCCACCGAGACAGCGGCGAGTCCGGAGAGGCGCTCCCCTCCGGCTCCCCAAGACCATCCTCGTTCCTCCTCGCCGAGGAGCCCGGAGAGCCGAACACAACCGATTTAGGGGGTTCGAGGGTTTTCATGATTACGAGTTTGCCGGGGTAGCAGGGCGACTCGCCCTCCTCCCCCGGCACTGGGGGTCGTGGAGCATCTTCTCTGAAACTACTGGCGATATGGTCCATAAGTGCCCGGCTCATGGCTCTGAAGGCAGCAGGAGAGAGATCCTGTGTGCTGTTTCGCCTCCTCTGAGCTTCTACTGTAATCTCCTCACTCTCTTATGTCAGCGGGGAGCTTCTCTCTGGCTGCCCGTCTTCTCTCTGAAACACAAAGTATTGATCTAATCAAAACCAGATCCGCCCCAACTTCAAAGGAGGAGAGACGCAGTGAGAGTCTTTTCAGAGCCTCTCTGACTTTTACACAAGGAGACAGGCTAGTTCACAGAGAAAGAAACGCTGCAGCAGCATTACATAAAGAGCTTTTTATTTCCATTCTCGTATCTTGATACCCGATGTGATTCTCGCATTGGCGCTTTTGGCGAGGAACGCAAATGAACAAGAATGTAACTGCGCTTAACAAACAACCTGAGCGATGTCTGACTGAATCACCCTTCAGAGAAGAGACACTCACGCGTATTCTCGACCGGGCCTGTGCCCTGATCATTATTAATAAGTCATTAATCCTTCAAAATGCCAAGAGTATTACGCACGGACAATGGCTTTATGTTAACGCTTCCGGATCCATCACGCCTGGTGTCAGGGTTAAAGCCTGGCTGCCTGCTGCGAAATGCAAACACGTCCCACTAAAAATCCATCACTTCCACTTTCTCTCATATTCTGGGCAGCTACATGTCATTACAAGCGGCTAAATCACGTCAGATTGAGCCTCACCGCGGGGACCTGTAGGACACAGATGTGGGACAAACTGGAGGAGATCGAAAACGTGACCGAAATAATTATTGGAGTTCACTGGCTGCTGCTGCTGCTGCTGTACTACTACTGGAGCTTTTAAACATGCAACTATCGGTTCAATATCGCAGAGATTATAAGCAGTTTGTAAACACCTATACATCCAAAAGGCATCATCAGTGTTACATTGTATCAGAGGCAGATGTGCAACACTGCAGATGTCACTTTGTTTCTCTGACACATGTGTGAAACTTGTCAGAGAAACTGAAGGGGAAACAGCAACTGCTTAAACCTCCCAATTATATCGGCTTGTTGTTAAAAAATTATATTCAATGAAACTGTGTAAATTACAAAAAAAAAAAAAACCACCCAGGTTAAAAACCGTCCCGCAGTCAAGAGTCTTCAAAGTTACTGAACCCTGAATCTAAGGCGAAAAAAACTGCCCTTTCTTTTTTAACGTCCAATCCCAAGTACACCAAAGTCTTAGATGTTGTGGGGGAGGAATTCCACTAAAAGAAACGAATAGTATTTTCTACTTCGTCTATGAATATGAAATGTAAAAAAAAATCTCGAAAAGAACACGAAATGAACGATAGAGGAAAGGTACGAAGCAGTTTTTGATCTTTAAACGCGAGAAAATGGGCTCATTTTCCCCCAGAACATTTACTTCAAAGGCGAGTCAACAGCACATCAAAGGGAGCTCCGATGGGGGGCCAGTTTGAGGAGGCACACTCTTCTTGTAACTTACCATCGATCCACGAGTTCTCCACACAAATTAAACTCCGCTTGTTGTGCTTTATCCACATGGGGAAGAAAAAAAACACGTATAATCCACAGTACTCGCGTCCACATACAGTCCGTTCAGGTTTGAGTCGGTTTTACTGAGAGAAAAATGCACTCGAGAGGAAAAAAAAACTACCGCTTTTCTCCCTCCTCCTTTTTCTCCTCCCTGTGCATTCAGGCTGCCATGCCGCACGGTAGGTCTCTCCTGCAGGCGACTCCAACACCAACTGAGCCGACAGGCTGGAGCAGCGCACTTCAAAGTGAGACACCGACTGCCGGGTCCCGACAGCTGCATAAAAAACAATTGAGCCTAACGCCACCGAATAAAAAACAAAACAGGTGTCGAAGCTTCCCGGATACGTTGCAGTCACTCTGGATGAGACATATTTTAGCGGCTGCTGTTTTTATTTTCCGACATACGATTTTTTTTTACGAGTCTTTTCCCACATCACGAAGTTGCAGCTACACAGCGAGGACCTTATCAAAGACAAGGAATCTTGAGCCAACTCCCCCGAGGCTTTGGAGCGTCAGAAGTAACTGATCTGCCGCCCCAATAGCATTATCGCTACAATCCCTCTGTTGCTACATAAACTTTAAAGACGCAGAGATCCTTTTCTTTTCAAGACCCGCATAGTTTTTTTAGATTAATCCACTGGAGTCCTGGGGATGCACAAAGCATGCACCAGCGTGTGTAAAATAGCACTTTCATATCCTCACATGAATTTTTTGGTCACATTACAACACCACAAAAGCCCAGTACAATAATCAAACTCTATTTTTTTTAACCCCTTAGAGAAACTATTTATAAAGAACAAAGATATGTGTCAGTCCTGCAACCACACTGCAAGAGTCATAAACTTGCAGAAGACAATTCTGCAAGACAGACCTTCAAAACGAGTCTCAAAACAAAGGCATCTTTACATTTTCTCTTGAAGTGTTAACAGACAACACTGTTATTCACCATGTTGCAATAGGACCTCGGATCAGTGTGCAGTTATCACTCCACAGCTCCTACCAGTGGCAATAAGGGCACATGGTACATGCATAACACACACACGATTAAAACATGTGTTTGCTGAGGATATCAGCTCCCTGAAGGATGTTATATGATTTAAGCAACAGAAGAAGAAGCAGTATAGCTCTCTCTGCAGCATAAATAAGGTGAAAAGGAGTGAAAAGCCTGAAGACATATCAAACATTTAATATACATCCATTTACTAGACTGACTGATCGCAGTGGAAGTTTTTTTTCTTCCAATTTTTCATTCTGGACTGGCTTCCTGCAGTGATGCTTAATAGTGTTTATAGACAGAGCCAAGAGTGTTTTGGATGGGTCTTAATAGTGTTCAAATGAGCCCTCACAGGAGACCCTCTGTACAAGATGACTGGCTATATTCTTGAAAGGTAGACAGTAGGTGTCTTTGTGTCCTTGTTGTCTCAGAGGACAGAGGTTCAAGAAGTACAGTACAAAGACGGCAAACACTTTGATCAGCCTGTTTGCTAAAGGTGCTGTGAAACTTCTCCCTTGATACCTCGCTTCCCATCAAGGTTAATAAAAGAGGAAATTGCCCTTGAAGAGGCGATGATGACTAAGGGATTAGTCATGATTCAAAGGCCACTTTAGCAGGCTGCACAAAAACACTCCCAATATGTCGACATCAAACTCCCCGTCTCAGTGAGAGATGAGCAGTGATTGCAGAGAAGTACAGTGCCTTACCCCATGAGGAGATACTTATCACCCCATGAGGAGGGCTTGTAGAGCTTACTATTAGATTTATTCTTGTTTTAGATTTATTTTGGGAATGCCTTTATTTGATAGGACAGTGGATAGAGTATAGGAAATCAGGAAAAGAGAGAGAGAGAGAGAGAGAGAGAGAGAGAGAGAGAGAGAGAGGGAATGACATGTGGGAAAGGAGCCGAAAGTCAGACTTGAACCCGGGCCTCTATTTTTATTTTGCTTTAATACAACTTGTTGAGTTGAACACCTGAACATCACATTTTAAGAGTTCTTCTAAAGTTAAAAAATGGAAGAGAAAAGTTGCAGAAGTTGGATTAACAGAAATGAACAAGTTGCTGATAAAGAACATGACTACAGATACACAGTTTAAACTGTCAGATAAAGTGTATGGAAAAATGCTAAAACAAAATATTAGACATTATAAATGCAATGTTTGAATAGTTTGCTTAAAATGATTATCGAGAGTTGAAAGAAAAAACAAAAGTTATAAAGGCTTACGTGATATATAAATGGTTTCAAACAACTTAAGTACAGGCAATAAAGATAAAGTTCAGCTATTCTGTTGTAAAACTTAAAACAGTGATAAGACAAAACGGTAACACCATTTAAAACATGTTTTAATTTGACAGTTAAAAGTGATAGGTAAAAAAAGATGGATTCCACAAATAACTATTCAGTTTATATAATTTAAAGGTAAGAGGTAAATGGTCAAATTTCATAGCTAACAGTGGTTAGATTAACAGAAGAAATAAAAAGCCAACGGCCATAAAATAAACTGAAATAAATGACAATGTAATCGGAGTACCCATTTTTATGGGTTCTGATTGAAGAAGTTGCCAGATGAGACTATGACGACTCAGCCCTTCAAATCAAATCTTCAAAAACACAATTTCTCATCTTGTAAAAAGTTTGTCTGCAGAGTCCAGCTCCGTCTCTAGGTACCCGGGTCATCTGGCTAATATACTGAGTGAGTGCTACCCTGACAATGTCTGCCTTTGTTAACTTTGGACGACTAAGCCTGACCTCTGGCAGTAAACACACCAGGGTGGAAACCATCACCATGGTGATGGTGTGGACCCCCTGCCTGTACCAGGAGCCAGTTGGGCCCTTCATGTCCTGCCTTGTCAACCCCCCCCCCGGTTCATGGGAGGTCCCCGTAAGTCGTGTCTTCCCCGCTGCCCCTTTAGGAGCTGACCCCAGGTCTGGGACGGGCCTGAGACGAGGGGTGTCCTTGGCTCCTGGGCCTATAAAAAGACCCTTAAAAGGGGGCTTCAGGGGGGAGAGGTTATGGGGTGTAACTGTCTCTCTGTTTGGGAAGATATTATTACAGGGACAGGTCGGATTCGGACTGACTACAAAGAGGCCTATAAATAGAGATGGAAGGACATGCAGAAATCACTTGTGTGCTGAATTAGTTCTTTTATTGTGACTGCTTTTCTTGCACGAGCACAAAATAAACAAAGATGCTTCATTTTCTTTTGCATCTGAAGTCACATTTTCTGAAAAACACATCCTGTCTTTCAACTAAAAAGGACGAGAGAGGGTTTTATGACTGTGCTATAAGGTCTCCTGAGCAGCCATGGCCCGTCGTAACAGCTACCGGCCACCTCAGTCGCACTCATAAACACTCAAAATGTGTGTGTGTGTGTGTGTGTGTGTGTGCCGGTGCTGTCCTCTCTGTGCTGCAGCCCTGTGATCAGTAACTGCTCTCAATTACAGTATTGTGTGCCGTTCCTTTCGGCTCGGGGTTAAACTCTTTGCAGACCCCTTTGAAGTGCTCATCCCTTTATCTCAAGCCAGAGCCAAGAATTTGGGGGAGGACAATGGAAAATGAAACCAAGAGGGAAGCTTATGGCAATTATCAACCAGGGCCATGAGGAGGAAGTCAGTGCGCACACACACACACACACACACACACACACACACACACACACACACACACACACACACACACACACACACACACACACACACACACACACACAGAAAGAGAGAGCAGATAAAGAGAGCAGGAGACTGCCGATGTAGGACAGGGGGTTACTGTTTCAAGTTTGTTTGGTGTGTACACACCCGGGGCAACAAGCGGCTGCAGAGAGAGGAAATGGAGGCTACCTCTTCAAAGTGTAGGTGACAACAGGGGGACAATGGCCTCGATGAGGAGCTGATGAGACGAGCTGCAGAAGTCGTGTTGGGGGTCAAAACGCAACTTAAGCGAGGACCAAAGAGTGGCATAAGAGGAACGGAGGGAGAAGTGCTGTTGTCAGCAGAATCAAACAGCACGCAGAGAGCTGAGGAAGATACAATTAAAGTGTGGAGTTAAGACAGGCTTTGAAGTCGGACATGGTGCATAATACCCTTAAAAGTTAAGGAAGGGCAACAATTCACCAGTTTGTTATGGGGATGTTTTGAAGGAGGAAGAGGAAGGAGGGTGGTGGGAGGGTTTGTTTTTGAAAGGGTTCAGTTTGAGGGGAATGAAGTTGGATTTAAAGCGCCAATTGGCCCCAGATGCATTTTTTTTTTTTTTGCAAAACAGGGAATGTAAAGTGCGAGTGGGAGTCGGTGCCTACCTGTGCATTTTGATGATGGGGATGAGTGTGTGAAAGATGGAGGGGGTAAAAGAGAGATGTGTCAGAGAGAGCAGAATGGAGAGCAGGTAAAAGACTATGAGGTGAGAATGAGACATGAAATAGGTTGGGAATTGGTGGCAGAGGAAATAAAAGAGAGGCAAGAAGAAAGAAGGGGGGGGGCTGTTGAAGGTTATTTATTGGTTTTTTCCCTCATTTTAATCCCATTTTGCGCTTGACTTTTAAGTCTACCAATGTATAGAAACAATGTCGGATGCACTGTCTAATCCCGTTTGGGCCATGAAGCTCACTCCACGCTGACAGTAATGACTTTCATTTCCTCTGCTGCTCCTGCTGAAGCACCATGCAGACACTTCACAGGCCGGACGCCACTGCTCCGCCATGCTTGACAGGACAGTGATCCGTCTCCGAATCAGTCTTAACCTGAACCCTGGGCTCCCTCACTCAGCCTTAATCCATCACTTTAACCCCATCTTCCTCTCTGCTGACTCGGGAGCACAGGGATCCCAGACTGGTAAGGTGATTAACTCGCTCGTCCATTCAACAGATGCCAGATTTTTATCTCGCTCTCCCTGCTTCCTGTTCCCCCATTAGAGGGGTGTGTGACACATCAACACGGTGAGCACCATGCCAACAGACATGCCAGACACTCGCCATTAAACACCGAGTAACCATATTCAAGTGTCAGAGATTCCAAATTTCTACAAAACAGATCATGTTCGATCAGATAATTACAGAAATGCACGACAGTCATTTTGTAAAACGCCATGTAGACCACCTTTCTGCAGGGCAGCACAACAATTGAGCCCACAAAAGTCATCTCTAAAACGTTCTCTCTGGGAAATTCAGAGGGGGGGGGGGTTCAAAAACTTCTGAAGGATGCTATGTACATTCGGTGACACATAGTAAACACGGGTTGATTTGTAGTTTTTTACTGAAATTGCAAAGTGTCAATGTGGAGAAAATTACTGAGAAATTAAAGCTCCCCTGAGGAGTTTTTATGTGGTTATGAGACAAACTGAAACTAATACTGATGCCTTTTAAAAAAGCAAACAGGACCATAATTGTCAAATTGAAGATTGATCATTTCTAATGATTGATTTCTTTATTTCTGTAAACACTGTTGCTGTTGTAAAAAGTGAGTTACAGCATGCTGCAAAAAACACCTTTTCCACAAGACTAAAAATCACAGTGAATGATGCATTTAACTATTTAAAGAAAGCAGGAGGACACATTTCTTTAGAAAACACGACATTCTCAAAGTGATACGACACACTACTTTGTCCACAGGGGGCGCCAAAATCAACGTCACAGGAGCTTTAAGTTAAGAATTTCTGCAGCTTTGAGACGTCTTTGTGGTGCATTTAGACTTTAGACTGCAGAGGTATTTTCTGAACTTGGGTATGAAAACAATGTATAGCTGCATCTTAGCACAGATAGATGCAATTTCAAATTACGCTTTGCAAGAAAACGTGCACCTATACCATGTGATCCAACGTCATAAATAAAGCAAAAGGTAAAATAGGACAAACAATTGGACCTGAACCCTTAAAAACAACCTTTCATGTTCCACTTGGGAGAATATTTGAAAGTTAATCGATGCCATTAGTGTACATGTGGCCAAAATAGCTTATTCTTCCACTTTTCTTGTGCCGGAATTTCTGTGCAATGATAGAAGCGGCTGACAGAGATAAATGGAGAGAGCGAGACAGAGATACCCAGACAGACACACAGGGCAAATGATGCAGACAAACCTCCCACACGGTGTTAAGAGCAACATTTCTGTCCCCCAGCTCAGCCCACACCATCAGCCCAGACAGCAAATTCATGCCACAGTCACACACACACACACACACACACACACACACACACACACACACACACACACACACACACACACACACACACACACACACACACACACACACACACACACACACACACACACACACACACACACACACACACGCACACAACCAGCTGAGCCTCCTTCACTGAGGCTGTGCAGCTTCGAACCCACTTGTTCTCAAATCACACAGCTGCAGATCCTTTCTCATAGCTGTTTGAGTGACAGGGCAAGGGGGGGAAAAGAAAAAAAAAATCACTGCCATAAATACCGAATCAACAAAGAGAAGAATGATACAAGCTAGGAAGGGAGACAAAAGCAGAAACCCGATGGAAGACATCAGCGTGTGTGTGAGAAGTGGCGGCAATAAACAGCTTTATTTATGCACGCAGCGTACAGCAGCCAAACACAGGCCTCCTCGGGTCTGACTCAGAATACAACGCTAAAAAAAGCTCCAGTGACACACGGTTCACACACACACATACACGCATGTACAATGACTTTGTCAATCACACGCTGGTGTACAGTCAATCCCAGAGGCCTGTCACAAGCACAGAGTCATATGTGTAAATCTATCAGCAGGCAGAGAAACTTCCCTCGAATCACCCCGCTCTGCAGTTGATTAAATATCACTGCATGGTCTTACATTTTGTCTCCTCAAATAACCCCTTTGATCTCCTGCAGGAATGAAATACTTCAAAACAAAAACGGGATGAACGCTCCTCTCCGCAGCAACTTGAGAACAAGAAGAATCGGCGTTTGTAGTTGCTCTACATTCGACTGATTCACAATCAGACGGCTGTTTTTATCGTTTAAATGAGCACACGGAAGGGAAACTAAGTTAACACTGTGAGTGTCCCAGAGAAGAGTTTTCAGGTGTCTTTACTTTACCTGAGTGTTTATGTTCTGCTGATCACTTTTTACTTTCAGCCTCCTGAGGTTTCAACACAAATACCTGTACTTTCTTCCATTATGCATAAAAATGGAAGTCTCTTCAATGCATCTGAGGGAAATAATCGACTGCTTTTATTATGCATCCTTTCACACAGGTTTAACAACATCGAGACCCATTTGAAATGGAACCTTTTTTTAATATAATGAGAGGTTAAATTAGCATCAGAGCGCCACTAGACCGTACATTTGAGAGCAGTGGTTCTCAACTGGTCTAGCCTTAGGACCCACCACCAACTCCTTCATGAAAATCGTGACCCAAATTCCTGATATTTTTTCAACCAATCAGATTTATTGAATGAAAAATAGTGACTTTTGGACCTCAGATGTTATGAAACAGCCTGTTTTAAGAGCGCTTCATTTACTTTTTGACCTTATTTTTTCCCAGTCACATGTTCACGACCCACTGAAAACGGCTCTGCGACTCACTTTTGGGTCCTGACCCACCGGTTGAGAACCACCACTGTTATAGAGCCTTTAGGTTTTACTTATAAAGAGGTAAAATCACTGTTTCTACTTAGTATTATTTACACACTGATCTGTAATTCTACTAAAGTAAAGAATGTGACTTCGTCTGTCCCCTCAGGTCAATAAAACACATTAAAATAAAGCACAAACACGAACAGGTTTGATACATGAAGCAGCTGTATGTAGGGAGAATATGGCCGATTGGAGCTCCCTCACTGCCCTTTACTGTTGTCACACCGCGGCCCGCTGTGTGATGTGGAGATAACCAAGAGGAAGCGACCGCTTTGATCCTTAATGGGGCCGTGTCGGCTGTGTGGAAATGACTTTCATGGCTTGTATTTACACAAGCACAATTATGGAGGTTCATTTTGGTGAGAGACAATCAATTAGAGTGAAACTATGTCAGAGTGATAACGCAGATTAAAGGAGAGGTTAGAAGAGCGAAACAAGGGGTCTGTTGAACAGGACATCAACACCTTTAAGCTCCCCTTAAATATCAAAGACTCCGTTTAAATTAAATGTTTGTTCCATTCACAGAATCAAAAACCTTTGAAAAGTCTGTTGTGGAAACATGCAACAACTTCTGTAATAGGTGAAGAACAAATTAAACAAACCAGCTCGCAGGACTTTGACTTCTAACCTTGCCTAAAGGGCGAACGGTTCACAGCGTTTTTAAATGGCCTCACTTTAATGTGAACACCTGCAGGGGTTAGAAGACATGAAGGTACACATGGGGATCACAGCACACTTCTTCTAATGGCTCCTCTTACATATGGAAAACAAATCATGCCAGTGTTCTCTCCTCCACACATCTGGCAGATTTTGAGACATGATTGTTTGTCTGAGAAATCTTAGCAAAAGCAGATATAAGTAAGTTTTCAGGAGGGCTTGGATGTGCTCCGGACAGTTTTGTCAACCTTCACAAACAGACATTGAAATAACCTGATTATTACATAACTGAGTCTAAAACCCAATGAAAACACAGAGAAGTCCCAACATAAATTCGAGTACATTTTAAAACAGAAGATTATTTGTTGTCCCATGTTTTCTATTCCCATGTTTCATATGAGCAGCAGGTCGATATTTTAGCTTTGATACATTCCAGGTGTGTGCATGCTGTCGGGTTGTAATGACACCAGAGTTTTAAACTTTGATGTGATTCAAGTATAAAAAATAAATGATATCGATACCTGTTTCAGTACCAATGCAACAAAGAATAGAAGTCCTAGGTACCATGAAATGGGTTTCAATGATTGCAGCTCCTTTATAATGTCCACATTGCACAAATACAGAGGCAACCCTCGGTATCAAAATGTTGCCAATGTATCATTGCATTTAGTCAGTATGAAGGAGTTAGCTTTGATAGATTCATTCCTCTTCTGTATGCACCCATCTTAGGAAATAGATATTGTTGTTTTTAAGCTCCGGTACTTTTTTGAAATGATTGATTATCAAAATAATGGAGATAGTATCTTTAAAAAATGCGGTATGGAAAATGATCAAAGTCTTAACTTAGACAACCTTTGCATGCTGATTGCTCAAATGTGTGGAACAGGAAAAAGCTGCATGACAGAACATCAACAAAGACAAAGAGGCAACCTTTGTTGGTAAAAAAAAATTGGTTTGATTAGCTCAAGTCACGATCCGCTAACAATGCAAGGGGGGATTTTTTTAATAACTCGTCAGTTTTTATTTGATGAAGGGTAAGAGTTATTCACAATAAGGACAAAAGGACTGCAGGCCTTTCCCCACGTTTGAGTCTGGAAGGCTTCACGCTGAAAGACAGAATTCCTGCATCTCAGAAGTTGGTACGAGGGACCGCTTCTCTTTTGTCTTTCTCTTTTGTTTCTTCTCTCTCTCTCTTTCTCTTGATCGCTCGCTCTCTGCAGCAGAATCAGCACATCAAATAAATACAGAGAGGGGTATAGTGTTTCGTTTGGAGACAGCCGAACAGGTCAGGGACAATGGGAACACATGGAAGTGCGTGAACTGCGGGTGTAAAAGGAATATGAATCCAATGCAAATAAATTCAGGGCCCACTTTGAAATCAAATCAGCTTTTTGGAATTGAACCGTTTTCCAGAAATGATCACTATTCAAGCCCAGGCATTCCTCATACCAAACACAAAGTATCAATGGCCATCCTCGGCCCACCAAATGTAATTATAATCATAAACCCTCCGCACACTGGAGATATCAGAGGAGACATGATGGCCACTCCATGGACCCCAGAGTCTGAATGATTCCGTTTGGGTTTGAGTGGAGCCGTTGGTAAAACCCAAAGTGGTGGCCGAGGCAGAAACACTGTAGTGTTTGGCCCGAGGTTCAAACGTTGGACTCGCAGCGCTCTTTATCCCAACCAACCACAAACCCCCAACTGCTCTTTACAGTTCAAATGGGCCCTTGAGCAGAGAGACGATGCTTAATAGTGACGGAGCGGCTGGGAATTCAAGGTCTTTGATTTGAGAGTGAAGTTGGGGAGCTAATCTTGGTGAACATGCACGTTGTGGTCATAAGAAAACAAGGGCAACAGCTTGACTTCAGCTAATTGAGGGGTTCATTAAAAGGTATTTGGAGATGAAAAACATGGTCTGAAGGAACAAAAGAAGGAGCATGACAAAAGAAAATGATGCAAAATAGTTTTTTATTAAATGATGGATTTGACAATTGATCGTCAAAGTCTTAAATATCAGTAAGAACAACAAGCGAGTGATGTCATAAAAAGTAAAAAAAACTCAACAATGTAACCAGCAGTGAACATAAAAATGTAGATTCATTTTTCATAAAGGAATAGTTAATAAATAGACAAGAAAACCATGTGACAGGCGTTTAAAAACATGTAACAGTCAGTAATGCTCACATCTGATTGGACGTCGTGTCCTTCATATTCCAGTGTCTGGTGAAGCTGTGATTTCTCCATGGTTACCTGCACGGAAACATGACGTGGATTGGTCAATAAATGATTATCAAAAAAATAATTTGAAACTTTAAAAAAAAACCATGTCAATCAGTGTTAATGGAAGAATGCAGCACATCTGATGTTTATGTTTCTACTGTGACAGGAAACCAAGTCCTCCTGTCATCCACTGAATATCTACAGGTTTGAATGATCACTGAAAGTTCAGTTATTTGATGAGTCATCGCTGTGATGGACAACTTTGATTACCAAGAGTGCCACATTGATTTTATTCTCCATGCCAGAGGGTCAAATTGTAACAATAAGACACTCTTAATAAGGCAATTATAATGACCCAGAACTGAAAGGCAGGCTTGGTCATTTTCAAAAACCAGCATGATTTTGAAAGTAGCATTCCCTCAGTGCTCTGACAACACCCACCCCCCTCCCCTCTGTGCTCCCTCAAAAGCCACGCCCCTTACTTACATGCACAAGCGCCGTAGCTCTAGAAGCGGACCTCAGCTAATGCTTTGAGTGAGGGCTCGTGCACGCATGGGGTAGAGAACGAGCAGGGAGACAGGGAGGCGTGTGATTGGTTCATCAGATTGGTACCTTGTGGCAGTAATTGGTCAAAGTTTTTGCAAGCTTACAACTGCTACAGATTTTCTTTGTTTTCTTTTTTTAGAGAACATGAGTTATTAATTTCTGTCAGGACCTAAAGACAATGTCAACCAAAATCTTTAAAATGCAGCAAAGGACCAGGGTCGGATTCAAAGCCACGGTCTCTGCGATGACGACTATAACCTCTGTACGTTGGGCACGCAGCACCCTCCGATGTAAATCTGTTTAATATCATTTTTAAATATTGTCATTAATATTTAAGAATACCATGATGGATAGAAATTCAAACCAACTCCCTGACAGACTGCTCCTTTAAGATTGTCAGCGTCTCCGTCACTTTAAGTTGTGATGCAGCGTACAGTGAGTAAACGGGTTCTTTACTGTGATGTTTGTGACAGACAGTCCTGAGAGATGTTTGCAGAGATGTGAGCAGCAGTGTCGTTTGACGAGCCCTCTCATCACTGCGATCTACAGATGCTTTTCATAAAGACATAAATGTCTCGTACGGTCTGATGGACGGGGGAGAGAGAGAGAATCAGAGCCCTGAGGACAGGAAGCTGTCACAGTCAACGCTTCATCTAATGAACCTGTGCCATTTATAATGAGTTACAAGCTTTTTCTGTACGAGTAGATCTGGATTCTCAAACATGACCAATCTTACAACCTGAGGAACACTGGGGAGAGTAAATGGTTTCATACATACAGCACACGCATCGTATTGTGCAGAAGTACCACCTTCCACATGAACTATGAACAGGAACATGTGCACAAACGTTCCCATACAGTCTGAACAATCATGCTAACCTCCTGCTGCGACAGGCGTCCACTTCTTCCTGCAGCAGAGAGGCTCTCTTCTGGAGGAAGTTTACCTGCAACACACACAAAGAGGCACAGAGGAGTCTTTAAAATGCGTCGCTCTGATTAGCCGTGTGATCTAAATGAGGGAAGATCAGAAGGGAGACTTGAAGTGGAGGAGGCACGACGGCTTTGAGTCAATTGTGCTTTTTGGGTGGAGGGGGTTAGTTAAGAGGAAGAAAGGTTTGGTTGTTGAGTCCGGGGGTCAGGACAGCAGGGGTTGGGGGTCAGGAGATTAGGGCAGCGGGGTTAAGGCACAGAGGGACAGAGGGGAGATTATGAGCCAGGTTAGTCGAGGTTAGGATGCTGCGAGGCGAGGCAGCGCCACTCTTTTGTTCGGCTACAAAGTGTGGGTTTATTTATGAAGTGTCTTAGGCTGAAGTGAAAATAAACCACTTCTACATTTACACGGCATCCAGAGCCTGGCAGAATAATCACGGCTCCAAAAGAATCCGTATTGTTCTGGGACTACCGTACTGGAGCCGAGGGTACATTCCTGTGTGGGGGGAGAACCTCAGGGATGTTCTAGCATTTCATTTGGCACCGAAAAGTGGTGAAGGAGGTGAAAAAAAACCAAAAAAAAAAAAAAAGCAGACGAAATGTGGTCAGATGTCTTCAGAGACACCGAAAGTCTCCCTCCTCTTTTTTTAATAATCTTAAAACTATTTACTTTAATAAGTAAAAACATGGAACATCATCAATGAGAGGAGAGGCCCCCTCTGGTCATGAATGAGATCTTTTAAACATATCTGATCACAAAGCTGTGGTTGGTGCTCTGAAAGGGGATGTAGTGGAACAAGGCAGCGGTTTACGATGAGCCCCCTTTGACAGAAACGTGCACCATGTGGTCTGATCATCATCACAGAAAAACCTCCTTTGTGTACAGTTCGGAAGGCGAGAAAAAAACGAAGGGAGAGTGGGAGGCACACTTCATCTGAACATCATGGCTTCATGAGTGTGGAGGGATTGTGTGATCAGAGAAATGGACAAGGAGATATTAAGGTTTATATCGAGGATTGGCCCACTACACCAAAAGCTTTCTTTGGTGACAAACAAAAAATCTTGCAAGCATGTTTATCGGGCTATGTGTGTACTGATTGATTTATAGTAAAGTTAAAAAACTGTTTAACATCCTTGTTACTAAAGTCATCAGATTGAATATGTCATTGTGTGAGTTCTCGCCCTGTCGTTATCTGACAGTCAGCTCTCACCTGAGCTTTCAGAGAGGTGATGGTGTCCTCCAGTTCCTGTCTGAGCTCCGACGGCATCAAACCTTTGATCTTCCCCTCGTACTCCTGACACGCCGCGGTCACCTGAGCGGACGAGAGGCAAGAGGATGGACAAGCAGTGTCAGCAAACTATGAAGACACACCTGAACATTTCCATTCATAAATCAACCATAATCAATTCAACCATCTAATGGATACAAATGCATTATGAGGAACACAAGCACCTGCAGAGAGAGCAAAAATGTGTCATCTTCATCTGTATTTATATCATTTGTAAGTTATTTATGTCTCCACTGGATTAGAAAGCATATTTCACATGCACACACACACCAGCACACACACACACTTCCAGACACAGTGCCAAAGTGTGTAGCTCCCTTGGAGGAGGCGCACACACACACACACACACACACACACACACACACACACACACACACACACACACACACACACACACACACACACACACACACACACACACACACACACACACACACACACACACACACACACACACACACACACACACACACACACACACACACACACACACACACACACACACACACACACACACAGTGGGTATCCCCTCTTTATTCATGGCTCAGAGTATTCCCTCGCTCTTCACAGCTCCTTCACATCTCCACAGGGGTCCTGCAGACTGGCATGCCTTGCTCTCTGCACAACACCCCCTACTGGCTGCTGATGACTACAGCCACATCTGACACAATGCATTTATGGGCCTGTTACACAGCTGGGTTTGGACGGGGACAGAGCCACGGTGGAGGGCAGGACACATCAAAAGCGGCAGCAGCAGCAGTTCAGAGCCTGCTAGCTAGCTAGCTGCACCGGGGAGGACGGGAGGAAGTCTGTCTGGGGCTAAATTACACTCCACTAAACCAGAGTCTGATTATAGAAGTTGAAAAGGGTTCGGTTAGCGCAACCCCCCGCCTTTTACCCACAAACACACATGAATGGACGCACACACACATCTCAAGACACGCACACAAACACAGAGTTTTACAGTACTGTAAAAGCATTTACAGCGTTTTGAAAAGAGTTGCTGAATCAATTACTTCTGCGCTTGATGAACGGTTTAACAGAGCGCGAGGAATCAACGGGAGCTTAGAAAAGCAACAGTTTTCACCCACATTTTTCAAAGTGTAACCAGGGGAGTGTCTGAGCATTTAGGGCGACCATAATGTATTTGACAGAGCCAAAGATCGGCTGAGATCAAGAATATCCCCCCCCCCCCCCCCCCCCACCTCTCCTCTCATCAGTCCGCTCTTTCAAGTGAAGAGAGCGTGAACGAGGTGAGGGGGAGGGAAAAAAGATTGGTTTTCCTAAAATAATTTTCCTGTTGTGGATTTAACTGATTGTTCTGGCTTTGGCTAATTAATCTTCCTGGGCACAATGAAAGGGATTGGGAAGCACTTCAAAGGGAGCTCCAGTATAAATGATCCCAACATGAAGCGGCTCACTTTGTCTCAGCACAGCGTGCAGCGAGATTAGTCTGCCACAACTTTGCCAAATTTTCAGCCTCCTTCTGCCCTATTCTTTTGAAAGTGTCAGGACAATAACATCAGGTATAAAGCCCATCTCTTTGGAGAAATGTGTCTTTTTTTCTCTGCGTGAGAACAGAGTGGAGGATAATTTAAGAGTGGCTTTTTTTTTTTCAAACACGAGGCAGCAGAACTGGTCTCAGACGCTCTAATTTCAACGTCCAGGAGTTACAAAAAAATCAGCTGAAGCTACGGGAGAGCGTATTTTCAAAAAAGGTCTGTCTATCTATAGCAGCTTCTGTAGTCATAACAAAACAGCTAGCCAAAGACAAAACACACTCCACTACCTCAAACCGGAGCAATAAACAATGGTTGAATAAACACATCCCTAACCAACCACTCGGAATATAAGTCTAGATTCTTCAAAAGCCGCGCTCCTTCGTTTTTGCATTCTTGGTTCATGTATGGTGCCGTCACCGCAGCAATGAGAGATCTGCTCTGCCTAAATTACAAGCTCCTTTGTGGCAATGCTGTCTCCTTTTTTTCTCCTTCCCATACATTAGAACGGGCAAGGCTACAACGGCATATTCGCAGAGGCTCACAGAAAGCAACCGGGACGACTGGAAACTATACGTACAGTCGCACGGCTGATCAAACCAGACAAGCCGTGAACGTTTGCTTTAGCAACATCGAGAGAGGGAAGCCTCAAGGAGAACTAATGTATTATGTGATACAGTAATGTTGTATATCTGGAGTCTGTTCTCATGTTGTCAGGGTCCAATGCAGAGTGGGCCTGTAGGTGCAAAGAAAAGCACTATAAAAGATGACTTTTAGTGTTTATTGTTCTTAACACTGAATAAGCATCGCTCGGCACTCTGTTCATCATATGTACAAACTCTGTGCACATCTTCTGTATCTATATCTATATTCTGCATTCCTTCAACAAACTGAACTTGTATAAATGCAGATTGCTGCTCCTCCTGCACAGTAGCACACCAAAGCATTTGCAATCACATCTTTCCCTGGCATGTCTAACTAAAGCTCAGCCATACCTCACTATGCAATGTGTGTGGGCGGAAGCAGAAGCCTCTTAAAAAAAAAAGAAAAAAAAAGAGGCATCTCTGTTGTGGAAACATATGCGAGGCTAAAACAGCAGACAGGGATAGGTAATTGAAATTTCTCTGACTTCACGGTGTCTCTCAATGGCGTTCAAACTCAAAACAGGAGCATCTCTCAAACTCCCTAAAGATGTCTGCCTCGCATCCTCTCGCCTCCTCTCACATCTCGGTTTGTCTTTACACAAACACACATTTTTCTCCTCTTTTAACAATTTTTTTTTTCTCTTACAGCAAAGGCATGTTGATTTTTCTGACAGGTGGCAGGAGGTATGTAAAGGCATAAAGAGAATCCTCCTCACCATTAGGACAGATGTCAGGTCCCTTTGAACAGTGCTGTTGATCAAACCTTCTATGAGGTTTCGGTCATTGACGGACTGCAGATGAGAGTGAGCTTGAGAAGTAAAGAGAGGAAGGGAAGCACAAGGGGGGGGGGGAATAAAGTGTGCCATTTTTCCCAAAGCAATGAAAAGGGACTTTGACTTTCTGGAGAGAAATCAGGTTTCATCTCCACAGCTCTTTTTAAAAAAATGAGGTTTTGTTTGTTCTTGATGAAGCGTGATTCTCTGGGTTTGAAGACTGCGAGGAGCGGCAGACGTTTTCCCTTCCCAGTCATCTTAAAATGACAACATTTCATCTATATATAGTCTTTAGATTGTGGTTTTGACTTTCCCTTGCATTTGGTGCCGTCACATGGCGTGGCTTTTGACAGCTGCCAGCAGAAAGGAACAAGCCCTCAACACTTTCAACGTTCAAATGAAGTTTGTCACGTCGTTGGGAAGCTTGATGTATGCTAATGAAGGTGGGGTGTGTGTGTGTGTGTGTGTGGGTTCCGGCTTGCGTGGGACGGGGTTGGGGAGGCTGAGTAGCTGCTGGAAAGATATATTTTTTTGATATACACCCCCACACCCCCCTCTTTTCCCCCCCAAAGTGACAAAAACCGTGTCAGGAACAAGGGGGTACATCAAAAATGACGCCACTCACAAAGTTTTCACCTCCACATCCACTGACTTGGCACTCAAGAGTTCACCAAGGAGCGATTTGAATTCAAAAATGCTTTTCTGCAAGAGGGGGAAAAAAGAACCGCTTCACATAAGTAAAAAAAAACAAAAAAAAAAACAGAAAAGAAAAAAAGGCAGCAGGAGATTAGAAGTGGCTACAGATCTCAGTGAAGTTGTTAGAACTATGGGATGGATCGGTGCTACTGATGTAATGTGCCTCAACAAAAACAGCACACAGAAAAAAACGACTGAGCCTTAAGAACTCGAGTTCAACTCCTCTGCATTTTTACATGTGAGTCCGAAACCAAAAACAAGAACAGGAATAATGTATTTTTTATTTTACCAGCTCCCCTGCTGCAGGAGAATACATCTCTGTAACGTGTACAGTTCACTGGGCCCACTGTATCATTATGTATTTATACAAAGAGCTGTACTCTTCAACACTCGACTCCTCTCTTCAAGCAGAATTGAACCACACACAGTGTGAGCTGCTGATCCGCCATTTTAAAACGAGGGGAGCCTGTGAGGGCCCTGCGAGTGTGAGGCGAGCAACATCTGTGTGAAGTCTGGGCAGAAAAGGCTGTGTGTTTTTTTTTTGTTGTTGCATGTGAGGGGATCAGATTACTAAGACAAGTCTTGGCAGATAAACTAGGACAGTATCAGCGTGAGGAGAATGAGAGGGGGGTCATTATCAAAAAAACAATGCACACATGACTGAGTGTGCACACAACAATGCAGATATGATGGACACTGATGCAAACAGAGGGCTGTGATTGACATGAACAGGGTAAAAGGCAGATATAACACACCTGATAACAAAGAGTACAGTCTGGAGCTGCTCTTTTTTTAGATAAGATAACTTTCGTTTTCTTTGGCACCATGTAAATAAAGTTTATGGATTGAAGCATTGACATGAAATAATCCAGAAAGTCTCTGACCTAGACCAGCAGGTCTCAACCAATGATCAGTGAGAAAAGGATCAAGTAATTTAACAGCAGTCATTCTGCCTTTTAACACAAGCAGACAACTCCTCCCCTTTCTGGCTCTGCTGCGTGTGTGAACGCACAACGCTGAATTTTTTTTACCCCCAACTTCGTCCAGACCTTTTTTCCAGTCAACCCCCTAGTTACATTTCAGCGTGAAGTCAGGGTTAGCCGATGTGTGAACCCAGCACATAATATATGTGTGAAAAGGGCTATAAACACTCATCAAGTTCATTAGGTATTGACTCTTTTTCCTGTCATCCAACATATACCCTGAAAAGCTGTTGGATCCCTACATGTAGCACTATTTAAAAATATGTCGAAAAACCCCACGTCATTCAACATTTCTCCAGAGAGTTTTTGATTTTATACCATGAAGATTATATTGATGGCCGTTCTATCAGGGACGACTAGTAGGTGGTTGCAGCAATTTAAATATCTACATCCTCACGGCATCTTCCACCCTGAAGAAGTCATGCGCTTGTTGTTGCTACACCTTATTAAAAAAGCTGTTACTTTAACCACATGCTTCAGATCTCGTCCTTCACCAAAATTCTTCAGCTGTCCTATCTGTCGATGTATCAGTTTCATCTCCGAATTGGCCGATGTGCAGAGATTCCTTCTCAAATTTGACTGTGGCACACTTCCTGTTTGTGTCTTCGTTGCCAACTTTGACATAGCAAAACAATCTGTGATAAATTAGTGAAATGTGTTTGCGGTAGAGAATCAAGAAGTCACGTACAAAAAATTGATACCAAATGCTTAGTCAGATTCTTGGTATTGTTTACTCATTCCTCTCTTCGGGACATTGCCTCATTCCAATCATTATGTTGCTGATTTGATACCAAAAAGCAGATTTTTGGTAAAACTACAGAAAGTTTGTGTTTGAAACATTTTAACCACACATGTCGTAACTCTACGGTTTACAAGAAATAATATGGTGTTTAAGGTTTTAATGTGCTAAACAAGATCAATAATCAATAATTTGATCAATAATTACATTTAGTTTGAAATAGTTTAACACATTTCAACAAAATATATTTTTTGAATGTCACAAACATGTGCAAAGTGTCACTACACACACAAACAGGCACAGAATATCTGAGAGAAAGTTTAATATTCTGAAAACGATCTTAAAGCTCCTGTGAGGAACTTTTGGTTTGTGTTGATCTTGGCGCCCCCTTGTGGAAAAAAACGTATGTCTTTGTAAATCTTATGAAGAAAGTTCCCATCCTGCTTCATTTTAACAGTCAAACATATCACTCTGTGAAGCTTTGTTGTTAGAAAATGCTGTTTTGGCGGCATGCTGTTTATCGACTCGTCTGACTCCTACCCTGCAGCAACATTTACAAGTATTTAAAATAACTATATAGTAATAATCAATCTTCCCGATAATGGTCTTGTTTGCTATTTGTCATATTGAGTCATTAGAATTCATTTGAGACAATTTAATAACCAGCTAAAAAAAACTCATCACAGGAGCTTTAAAATATAATGACTTTTTGATCAGTTTGTGTCTCTAAACTTAAAATCTGTAAGACATTTAGTGAATTAAATCATATAATGACCTAACTGTATCATCAGACATTGAGGGGACATGCTATGTTGAAGTGCCAGTATGCCAGTATGTCCTCCTTCTAAGTTTAGATTCTGGTCCAGAATGGTCTGGATTTGTTTGGACCAGAGAAGGTAGGCGGCCCCCACACGGCTGTTTTGGACACCCCTGGCTTTATCAGATATGAGACCAGTTATCACGGCTAACCAACAGGTGATGCAGCAATGGAAGCGGGCAAGAGAACTGGTTCAGATAGAAGTGAACATGCCCATTTTTCTTGTATATAAAGGCATATATCCCCAGTGAGCAGGCAGGGTTAAAGGTCAGTTCCTCAAAGTCATAGGAAACAACGAGTAGCGCCTCTGGGACTGGGTCAGGGACCATCAACTCCTAAAATCCACTGACCCCTTCCTTCAGATTTATGACAGCCAGACACCGAGGTGTGTGACGAGTGTGTGAAGTGTGTACAGGGGTCAGTGGGCGGATCGGACTGGACACAAGAGAATGAATGCCTTCGGTGTACATACCAGCGTACAAAGAAACGGCCTCCTGCGTGAGTGTAGTCATTAGTGCTTTCTTCTCTGTGTGTGTCAAGGTCAAAACAGAGCCTGATTACAGGGCATTCTGCAGAGCCATGGGGAGTGTGTGTGCGCACACAGAGGCTTCCCTCTGAACACAGGCGGTGGTGGCATTCCTGGCCCTAGGCGCTGGCTCTTGAAGCCAAATCTCAAGGAATTTGGGAAATGTGCGAGGGGGCATATCTCTGGCTCTGAACTGGAGAATGAAAGATGGTGGAGGGATGGAGAGACGGCAGTAAAGAGAGAAGAACTTCTATGCCCCCCTGCAGAGTCTAGTGAGGACGACAAGAGGGGGGGGGGGGGGGGTTGAGGGTCTGGGTACACCAGGTGAGCAGGATGGGGGGGAGTTAGAGGAATCTGTAAAGGCATTTAAGAACCCCAAGAAAGTATCTCTGGATAAATGAGAAGTCAGAAAGAGGTTATGTGCAAGAAGAAGAGTGATGAAAAGGCTAAGGGCCTCACGTTGAAAAAAAAATATGATGGGCAGAGAGAGTGATGCAACAGTTATGGTTAGAAGCAAATGAGTGTGAGCGAGAGTCAGCCTGCCTCTCTTGAACGTGCCCGTTGAGCCTGAAAGAGAGGCAGCAGCGTGAGATGAAGAGAAAAACAGTGACTGCATTACCTTCTCTTCGGTCTCCAGCTCTTTGTTAAGTAGCTTCTTCTCAGAGCTGTGCAGCTGCCTCTGTAGACTTTCCACCTTTCCCTGCAGAGCCTGGGGGAAGGGAGAGACAGTCAGCGATGTCGGCCGACTGACAGGAAAAAAGAAAAGCAACCGCAGAACTGCTGTGTGGCGTTACTCGTCTAGATCACATGGTACCAGGTGACAAACACAGGTTTACTCTGACTAAGAGAGCATTCCCAAAGCGGACGAAACAAGAGTGATCAAGAGCCAAAGAGAACATATAGAAGACAGAGAGAAAGTGAGATAGAAGGGAAGACAGCGGGACAGTGAGAAGAGATGCAGCCTGTGATTAATCTTTGTGTGTTAAAAGGCTAATAACAAAGTCATGGCACTAATTACCAGCAAGCTGGCCTCATTAAACCCAAACTTATTTCCAGACAAGGGCATACTTTGGGAATTAGCAAACTTTTTAAGTGCTTTGAAAAGATGCATTACTTCCAGGAGAATCATTTCATATACTGTATCATAGAGGATAAGGACGCCTCTTGCATGTACCTGAGTTGATAAAATTTCCCCATCGGGCGTCAATACAGGACTTAATCTATTTAGCTTTCCAAGATTTAGTGAAGAAAGAAAAAAACGAATGAAAAAGGGCATCCTCCTCCTCTCTGCCTGTAAGCGATAGCAAGGGAGAGAAAAAAAAAAAGAGGCAGAGTTCCTGCATGCAACTCAGAACCAGATGTTTTGCACACACATGTGAACACTTCGCCTTCGATTAGGCTGCATGAAAAGCAGAAAGAGTGATATGTGCACGAGCGCTAGTGTGCACAGATCCAAGGACACACACACACACAGCCTCCAACAAGTGTACAGGGCACTGGCTATCATCAATATCCTCAGCGTCTCCCCCCAGTGGAGTTGAGAGAGCGGGCCAGGTGTTGCCTCGTCGATCCTTGGAGTTGATGGGAAACACATTCCAGGTGATAGGCATGACCGGCCTGATCTACGGCCCACCGCTCTGACATCAATCTGTACGGCTTCAGGGCCACGCTGAACTTCTGAGAAGCAACTTTCTGAGAACAATGACTAACATGTAAAAAGGTGCAACACAGGAAAAGAAGAAAAAAAAACTGTTGAAAGCTTTCTTGTAAGTTAGATAAGTAGATACATTAGATCTTTGATGAACCTTTATACACTTACTTTTTCTACACTTGATTTTATTTCCTCTTCTTTTTCAATTAAAGATTTAATTTGTTTTTATGGTTTTATACCTTTTTATTTTCTTAATGCGTTTATTCATCTTTAAGGTTTGATTTTTTATTCCTTTTTGTTCAGCTTTATAACTCTTTTTCCGGTTATTGCTTTTATTACTTTGTTGTTGCTTTTATTTCTTTTCCTCTTTGTAATTCCTTGCTGTTCATTAATTTCCTGTTGCTTTTGATTTGCTTTGACCCTTTTCCTCCCTTTATGATTTGCCGCTTTCTAAACTTGCGTTCTTAAAAAGGTGCAACATAAAGAAATCTTTCTTCGTCAATCATTTTCTTGTTATCATTTGCGGTGTCAGGACTGCGACGAAGTGTACACCCACACCTGGGCTGCACTGCTGCAGGTAAATCCTCTTTTCTCCAGCAGCGTGGATAATTCAGGCCTCTGGCAGATGCATCACACATTACGAGACGATTATGATTCTGGAGCATGTTGAGGTCAGTTTTAGCTCGGCAGCATGAAAGGCAGCTGGTTTCCAGCGTGTTGATCCTATTAATCAGGGTATTTCTTAGCCAGTCACGATCCCATCACAGCCCACTTCTCCATCGAGTGCAAGCCCTTGCTTTGGATTTCATCATTTGGTTTTGTTTATTGGTGAATCAAAGCCTCAACGACACTGGAAAAAAAACACATTTTTCGAGGAGCTGACACCATTTTACACACATGTTCTCCATACAGTGACCAAGATGGATGAGGATTAGCTTTCATTTTTTCCTTATTGAAGGTTTAGAAGTCTATAGGAGAATATGTCTGATTGTGTCAATATCCTTAAAAGTTAACTAGTATTTGATTTTTTCACACAAGTATGCAAAGTTTGTTGTTTTTCAGTTTGTACGCTCCTCCACACACAGTTGCAACCATCCTCCTAAACCTTGACCCTAACCTCACCCCCGTCTGTGGGTTTAAGGAAGATGAGACCCTGACAACCCCCCCACCCCTCCCTTTCTAAACCCACTTCAGATTCCCCGCACTGTGACACAGCATTTCTGGACCAGGTCTTCTGGGAAGTTCGGCTGACTGGTCGGCCTCACTGCTGACGTGCCGGTCTCTTTCATGTGGCTTCTGTATCTGATGTTCTCAAAACATGTCTGAGGGAAGAAGTTCAAAACTCTCTTTTCATTAATAGAATCAGAAGAAGATGATTCCGTCCATGAACAGAGCATCGTGAGTCAGAGAGAGGCTGGAAATATTTAGTCACTATCAGTGTCATATATGAACACGATGACTAAATAATGAGGGCTGTGTTTAGGCACTGATCAAAGAAACATCACTCTCAAACTGTCAGCCATAGCCATTAGTTCTAGAAGACATCAAAAGTGGAAAATGTATGCAGCTGTTAACATCTGCACAGCTGTCATTAAACAATTAGAAATGTATGGTCAGATTTTGAAATCAAAAGCTAAAAATAATAATCATTTAGAGGATTACACAAAAATCTCTGTTATTTACTTGTCAGGTGCTGCAGATTTATTAATTTTGACCATTTTCTCAGGCCAACTTTCTGTTCCTGTCTTAAATCCACACAGCATAAACAAACACATGTATGGCAGACACATGTAAAGAACCTGTTTCTATAGTATTTGATCTGTAAAGGTGCCTGATGACCATACGTAAAAGCTCCTGCTTAAGTGTCTCCAGATGCTGGTGATATGGTCTTTATCAGCCATGCAGATTGGGATCACTGTGAACAGGCCTGGAGGAAGGGGGAAATCAGATTTCCTTCGGGTGAGAAGATGGGAGGGGGCTTTGAGAGGAGAAGGAAAGAGTAAGGTCTTAGAAGGAGAGAAAAAAGTAAACAAAATGCAAAGCAAAAAAGCCTGAGGAGAGAAGACAGAAATGTGATGACATCAGAAAGATTGAAAAAAAGTTCAGAAAGGTGAGAGACGAGGATGAGGGGAGGGACATGAAGGAGAAAAACACACAAGGCTGGAGTGAAGAGCAGGGGCAGAGGTGTACCTCTGCTGCACAGTCCCACAGTCGGGCGCTCGAAGGCCTCTATCACCTCTCCATCAGCAATGTGCCTTTCATTCCAAACTTCGGCTCAAAGGATTAGCGAAGCGCACGCGCACGCAGGCAGCAACAAACACACCGCTCAGAGCGATCCATGCAGGTATAGGCATGCATTAATATTAACAGCAAAAGTTCTAAAAATGTGAGTGCTGCACTCAGTCAAATGAGAGTGCAATCCATCTGTTTTATGCACACAAACATACACACACACACAGACGCACCAACGCCTGAGTCATCTTTCCTGGGTGGTCCTCCTGCGCAGATAAGGCAAGCATGTTTCCCTAGGGTGAAGTAAAAGCAACAGAGGGCAGGAAAAAAAAAAGCACAGAAGAAAGAAGTGAGGGAATAGTGGGAGGAGGAAAAAAGGCCAGGGGCCTCTTTAAACTCGGTGTTTTGTTAGGAGCCGAGCTGCTCTTCATGTGCGGCGGGGCCTTCTATTTGCAGCGTGCTGTCAGAAGTTTCTCCCAAAGTCTGGATTAAAGAGATCCTCTAATGACACTGAGGCTGGACGACTTCAGACAGCAGCGAAAACCTCACAGTGCACCGCCTCCAGCCAAGGACACACACACACTCACACACACACTGACACACACACTGACACACACACACACAGAGACAAGCAAAAGGGTAAGAGCAGATACATACACAGGGGGCATGAAGCACACAGACGTACATAAGCAAAGACAGCATGTGTACTGCGCCCACACACACACACCAGCTTTAGTAGAACAAGGTGCTGTGTGTATGTACGTCTACTGATCTAATAGTAAATAATAAAGGAGGTGCTAACCTCAAGGATATCTGGACGGCCAGAGAGATGAGCACAGACTCTCTTTTATCTGCACTTTTATCAAAGGATTGTGGGAAAGGTAAAGAAGAGAGTGTGAGAGAGAGACTGTGGGAGGAGGAGGAGGAGGAGGAGGAGAAGAGAGGTCTCCCTCCTGAGGTGTTAGAGAAGTGAAACTTTTGCTTTTTGCTTTGCTGTCTGTAGAAATAAAAAAGATGAGGTTTAGCAAGTCGACTAGGACAGCCTCTCTGAACGATATCACCCATATTGATATGAATTGACTTGCTCTCAGCGCTTTGATGCTCTCAGCGCCTCTCCCAGCCCTGATTTCAAACCCGAGTGTGAAGAGAGCGTGATGCAAACAGAACAGTTATCTCGTCTATTCCAATATGCACGCATGTCGGCACAGTTTCCTTAGTACTGATGGAAATGGTAAGACAATTGCTGCGGTAATGAAGACATGTTGCAAACCGAGCTATGCCCACAGGGGGAACACACTGTTCTCCACCTTTCCGTCTCCGTCTCTTTCAGCGGCTGTGAGCTACAGTAGAAAGAGAATAGGAGACAACTCGGAAATACACGCCATATGCCCTGTGTGTGTGTGTGTGTGTGTGTGTGTGTGTGTGTGTGTGTGTGTCTGTGAGAAACATGCTCCTATTCTGTTTATCAAATAGCATATCAGTTAGTAGATGTAAAGTTGAGCAAAACTTGAAAACTCTGGAACGATGTCTTCTGAACACTAAATAGCTCCGTGTTTTGATTCAGGACGGTGTTTTCAGGTTCTGATGAGAAAAACAGCCTGTGATGTCACTCAGATTACAAAAAAAAAATACAAAAACAATATGTTAATGGGGCTCTCGACATTTAACTGAATAAGCTCAGGTCGCTCTGCTAAAGAGGAAGTCTCAAAACTTTTTCAGACAAAGCTTCTGAATGTAGTTACGACAAACTCTACAATAACTTCTTCCCACTGCAGATATCAACAAAGTTAGAGCGACAATGACACCTTCCCTTAAAGAAACACTCA